TCTGCGACCAAATAAGACGACGAATCATCCTAAATCTTTTCGAAATTGACTTTCAACGAATTTAGGATTTTCAATGAAATAATCATTATATAACCTTAACTCACCTTCTTTTCTATTAGATTGACAATATTGTGACCAAGAATAGAGTCACGATACCCTGTTCTCCGCCCTTAATTATTTGATTCTTCTTCAACAACGACAGCGGTAACAACTTGAAAAGCAAACACAAGAGTTTCATCATCAAAATCAAAAGCATCATAAAAATTAAAATTAGAATGATTCCTAATGAATTTTAATAAAATATAATAAAGATTGGAGAGAAAAAATGATGAGAAAAAACTGTTAAGGTATATGAGAATATTTATAGATAGATTATTTTTTAAAATTTTGAAATCTTAGAATGTTGGTGGTCAGTTTTTCAAACTTTAAAGTTTTCAAATTTAAAATGTTGGCGGTTATTTTTTTAAAATTTAAAATTTTAAAATTTAAAATGTTGACGGTTATTTTTTAAAACTTAAATTTTAAAAAAAAATTGAAAATAAGATTTAAAATGTTGGCAGTTTTTTTTTAAATTTGAATTTGAATTTACTTTTAAAAAAATTAAATTTTTAATAATAACATATAAAACTAAAAATTAAAAATATTCATATAAATAAATTTTAAATTATATCTTTTAACTTTCATATTACTTCATTAATTTTATATTACTTTTATAAATTACTCATATTAATTATATAATTAAAAATATCATAATTATATTATATATAAAATATCTAGATTAGTTATATAATTATATTAAAATTAATTTAACATAAAATATATTAAAATATAATTAAATTTTCTAAATAACTTTTTAGCATGGGAATGCACATAATAAAAAAAATTATATTTATACTAGTCAAAAAGTTATTTTATTAATTTAACTTTTTAATATAGCATTTTTTATTAGAGATACTGCTCTGAGGCATGTTTTTTAAGTAGTAGAAGCATTAATTGGGATTAATTCTTGAAATTATGTTTGAATCATTATTCAAGATTAAATATTAATAAATTTAATATTAAAAAATAAAATATTAATAGTGTTAAAAATAGTTGAAAGGTAAAGTATTACAAATTTAATACCCAGTAGATTTTAAATTAAAAATATAATTAAATAAATTTGAAAATAATAAATATTATATAATTGTGGGAAGCAATGTTGGTTGGTTTAGAGTAAATTATAAAATCACCCCCCCTAGTTTTTCAAAATAAACTAAATAGTTCCTCTACTTTTAAAAATAATTAATTAATCTCTTGATAATATTGGCCATGCTTGAATATATTTTTTTGCTCTAAATACTATATTATTTTCTCATCAATCTTTTCGTATTATCATTTTTTTTTCCTATTTCTTAAAAGTTAAGCAAAGTAAATTGAAAACAGATATGAAAAACGGGTGAAAAGCATCCCCCCCCATATTAGGGATGACACCGTGCCCGCCTTCATTTACTCGATTAGAGGTAGGAATGGGAGCATTTCTGTTCCTATGGAGGTGGAGGTGGAGGTGGGTAAAACAAAAACACCTACCTTGTTCGGATATTGACGAGGCTCTAAGTTTTGAACATCTAGATCTATTGAGCATGATCTTCAAACTCTTTAAGAGAACAAAAAATGGCAGTGTGATGCCCTCCCATGTCCTGCACACATTAAGCCCGGACAATGAAAGATGGTGGCACTAGAGAGAGCAACGGCGAGCCCACTTTGATGGTGAGGTCAATACACAGACACATAGCAGATAAGATCGAGAGAGGAAGAAGGAAAGCTCTCTCTAAAATGCATGGGTGCATCTCACTCTTTAATAGAGAGGAAAGTACTTTATAATTTATGTAGCAGAATAGGTGTGTTTATTGTCATCACTAATGTTATCTTAGATCAAGTGGTTATAGTGTAACAGGGAGGATTGCTCAGAGCTACGAGGAGTAGATTAAAACAAAAAATGAAAGAGTGCTGTTCAGCCGTATAAAATACTATGCAGACACTTATGATTTACTATGAATTATAGTAGTGTTTTTTTTATTTTTTATTTTTTAAAATTTTTACTCTATCAATCGAGCCCTTCAATTACAAAACTAATGGCCTATTGCTTTCTATTGTTTTACTAGAGAAAAAATAGAAAGGAAAGGCGTTGAAAATAAGGGGTATGTTGGAAGGTGGCATAAAAAGCTCAATTTAGTCCTTCAATGTCTACTATTATACTTTTTCAGCCCCTTATTTAAAAAAATCCAAAATTTTAATACAAGACTTTATTTTTATTATTTTTCATTCCCTAGTTTGTGGGAAAAAACAAAAGACAGAATTGAATTTCAACATAGAGAAAAAATTTTCATTTCACCAATTCCAATCATCAAATATCTTTAATTTTTTACTACTATTATGGTGGTCAAAATCTAAAAAGATAAACGACTTGTCTGGTGGTCAAAATCTAAAAAGATAAACGACACATTATTTGTATAAACAAGTGACATCTTATTTGATTATTAAAAAAAAATTAAGGGCATTTGCCTTTTAGAAACTTTTTAATAAATATATCAGATCAAGTTTGCAAGTCCAGGCTTAAAGGCCTACGCGCCTAATTTCTTTTTTTAGAGGTCTAGATCCACATGCTTGGGCTCTTTGAAATAATTTTTTATTTTATATTTAGGTACAAAATAATTTTTTGAAAAAATTATTAGACTCATTTAAGTCCATAACTCGAATCGCAAGCTTGACGAATTAAACCATAAAATCTAGGTTATAGTTGTTTTTATGGTTGTTTAATGTATTTTTTTCCTTAATTTAAAAAAATACAATTTAACCCCTTCTAAGCAATGATTTTTTTTTATTTAAATTAAAATAAAAAATATAACTTCATTCTTTGTTATCGTTTAGCTTTAAAAAATTATGCTTGCTTTTATTGTCTTAGAGCTTGTTTGGCAATATAGTTATGGTAGAGCTTGTTTGGCAATATAGTTGTGGTTGTTTTTTAAATAACTTTTCATACTGAAATGCATGTCAATAATATTATTTTTTTTATTTTTTAAAAATTATTTTTAACATCAGCACATCAAAATAATTTAAAATATATAAAACATATTAAATTTTAGTAAAAAAATAATTTTTTTTGGAACACGGTTTGCACCACATTTCCAAACGATACCTAAATCCTACATATTTGTCCGATGAAAATAAAAACTAAAATGTATTTTCTATAATAGATAGTAGTGTGCACAAAATATTACTATTATTTTTTTATTTTTCTCCTTCTATTCTTTTAGGTCAGTTCAATTTAGTCATAGATTTAAGTTTTTCTTTTTAATTAGTCTTTAATTTTTTTTATAACTTTTCAATTTAATCTCCAAATTCATTTAACTTATAGCTAATTAAATTTCAATTAAGACCTGACTAAAAAGAAAGTAAGGGATGAATAAAGAAAAAGACACGTTGTCTAAATAAGTTAATTAAATGGAATTATATACATCATCATAATTGTGAGTTTTATGAATAACTTTTCAATTTAATCTCCAAATTCATTTAACTTATAGCTAATTAAATTTCAATTAAGACCTGACTAAAAAAAAAGTAAGGGATGAATAAAGAAAAAAACACGTTGTCTAAATAAGTTAATTAAATGAAATTATATACATGATTATAATGATTATAATTGTGAGTTTTATGAGTTAATTTATATTAATTATAATTGATATAATATCAAATATTTTTAAAAAATTTCATCTTTAATTTTTTTTATAACTCTTCATTTTAATTCTAAATTTAATATAGTCTAAGATTAATTAAGACTCATTCAAGGATCCACAGGGGAGAGAATAAGAAAATGAAAAGGAAAGAAACATGTTGTCAAATTGGGTAAACTTTTATCCATATTATAAATTGTATATGTCGGGTGCGAAATTTATTTTATTTTATTATATTTTACTTTTATTTAGTTACATAAAAAATAACAGTTGGCTTTTAATCAGGCTGCAGCGAATCACGGCAGGGTTCATCCTTAATCATATATGGAGGCAGAGATGGTATGCCTGATGGACCTCCCTGCACACACAAATAATTGACTTAGTTTATTTGACTTGGTTTGATAAATATAATTTTTTTTTTTATTCCGTGTCCTTAACTTAAAATGAGTTTGGTTTTTAGATAATTTTATGATTATAGTTTGAAAAAAAATAAATTTTAAAAAAACATAATTAGTTATAATTAGTTAGATTTAAATATGTATTTGATAAAAATTATATTTGAAGTTTATGTATAGTAAAAAATATATTTAAATTTTAAATTTTTTTATAAAACTCGATTAAAAAAAATAAAAACTATTGTATAAAAATTGAATTTAAAAATTAATTTTTTAATAGATCCCATAAAATAAAACATAATTTAATTTATTATCATTTATTTCACTGCAAATACAAAAGCTAACAGAAAACAAAAGCTGCCTTAATAAAAATTAGTCATAAACATGAACTTTCAAAAGAGATCTGTTTGATAAAGACTTCTATGAAAAATAAAAAATTACCTCTAATATCAATAAATGGAATGTGAAGTTTATAAGGCATTCACAGAGACAGATGATGCATCCCTCCTCTCTGCCCCTGTATAGCTCCATTGCCGTCCCTCCCTTCATTAACCCTTTAATTTTTTCTCCAATCCCTTAAAAAATTCGAAAGATTTTTGAAAGGGAGAGATGTTAATCCATTGATATTAGAACCCACTCAACATAAAATCAGAGGAGCTGTAGAGTGACTAAAGAGTCAATTTATCTTGAAAAATTGTTGAGTGAACTAAATTCACAAGATGACAATTCGATCAATTGGAATGAAATGAAAGATCTGCACTCTCAACAGTCCCAATTGTTTCCATTATTTCATGATAAACATTGGGTTAAATATTCTGCTTATCTGCTAAAAACTTGATTTTTGTTTTAAATTAACTTAACCCAAGTGTGTTCGTTTGTTGAAATTGGTGCCACGAATTGTTATCTTCTGTGACTAGCAACGGGCCAATTCTCCTCTGTGATTTTGCTGCTTTTGCTAACCTTTTCTGTCTAGGGCAACCCAGCGCTTCAACGGCCAGTAAAGCCTTTAATAATTTGTTGGTTACCCACTGTTCCACTTTCACTCTTTCTTGGCTAGTCTGCTTGTCTGCCGACAATGCAAGCAGAGAAGCAGCAAACTTGGAAAATCAAAGTACATGCTAGAGCCAAGAGATTCCATTTCAAATTCAAAGCAACAAAAACAGATCAACCCATCTGGAAGTCGCCCAAATTCTCAATCTTTCTTAGAATCCATAGATTTTTCCTCCAAGTGAATACAGAATCTCGGAATTCAATTCCTAGATGGAAGAAACCAAGAACCCTGAAATCTAAATTCCTCAGATTTTTTCGAAAGTTCAAGACTTTACCTTCAAAGAAACAGGCAGTTGCGGCAGAGAAAACCCAAGATCTTCAAAACCCAGACAGTAAATTACATGTGGATCGACAGAGAGAGTTTTCTTACAAGGTAGTATGGAATCATCATGTCACTGCAGTCAATTCTCTTAATATACATGCATAATGTCTTTATAGTCATGAATCTCTGAGTATTGATTAATGTTTGCAGAAGCCAGTTTGCATTGGATCTATGCTGGTCGGGACACTGGCATTGCTTTCAGAATCAAACTGTGAGAGAAATCAGAAGGGAATTATCATCCATGGTTCATGTGTCTTGCTACTTCTTGCTTTCTTGTTCAAGAAATATATAACGGGACAGGCCATGACTTTATTGGTGTTTTTAACAATGGCAACTGCAGTTTGTGCAGTTATGTTTCGTTTAGACGAGTACATGAATTATGATCAAGGTTTGGTCTCAGAAGTTGTCTGGAAGGCATGGAATTATACTGCCTCTTCTGGGTGTTTGTATGAGCTTTCTCAGGTAGTGCCATCTTTTTCGTTTTCTTCTAGCCCTTATGTTATGATTTTGCTAGATGGTTAGTTGCCTGACTAAGTTGACATTTTTCAGGTAATTTTTTCAAGGTTTGCCAATCTATGGGTGTGGTGCAGTCAGAGGCCAAATAATTGGATGACTTGACATCCCATTATCCTATGAATGATAGCCTTAATGCTACGTTGTAGATGAATCAATTCTTCTTTGATTAGATTAGGTGATTTCTTCTTCTTCTGTCTATCTTTTACCACACACCACACATGCCTGTTGTTCAAGAACAAACAATTTGCATTTTTCCCACACCATTATTTTCTCAACATCTATGAAAATGATTTGAGTGTACAAGCATCTCTTTCTATTAGTGATTGTTTGAAAGTTTGAATATTAATTGTAATCTATTTTGATCTTTATATATGCTGTTTGTCTGTGTTTTCATTGTTTTAAAAGAAACAAATGGTTCTCTAAGTTCAAAGCTGCTGATTAACCAAAGTCAATCCTAAACTGTCTTATTTCAATATTTAAAAAAAAAAACTAAAAAGTTAAACTAGGTCATGATTTGAGCTGTAGATAAACTTTTAACCCATTCAATTTAATATAAAATTCAGTTTAGATCAAGATCAGTGAATTATCGAGTTGATATCAAGACCAAATTTAAAAAAGATGTCTGACATTACGAGTGTGAGAGTGTGATCCTCCTAGACCCCAAGTAAAATGACCATTGGCCATAGCTCCTGTGCTCTATGAATCAATACATAGACAGGTGATGCTGCAAATCTGAACAGAGCTTTGCAAATTCTTGGCACAGTAATGTCTAGGCTCCAGTGTATGCCTCCATTGGAGTCTTCACCTGGTCAAAGTATAACACGAAATTTATAGCCGAAAGCTTAAGACCAAATCCCTGAGCCCAAGAGAAAAGACGCCCTACTTTTCAAAGTCTGCTACTTTGAACATGCTGTGCAAGGCTCGACTTCTCTGTCTTCGGCCCTATGCTGATAAGACAACATATTAGTGATAACTTGACCGACTCGTTAAATACCAGTTGTACCCTCCGAAAAACCCCATTTTACCTCACCTGACGAGAAGGATTTTTCACTCGAGTGATATTGAACATTAAGAATGAATCCCACTTTTAGATCATGATATAGCACACTATGTTTATTTTTAGAGGGTTTTTTTTTAATGTTTAGCATTCATATTTTCTCCTCAAACCATGTTTTGCCCTTGCCAAGCCCAGCTATTTAAAAAATATTATTTTATTCTTATTATTAATATAGAACATCAAGTTACTATATCTTATTACATTTATCAAGTTTTTAAAATATTTTTTAGAAAAATATTATATAGAGTAAAAACTATGACTAATATAGCTTTGATCTTACTGGCTGTAAAATTTTACTCTTCTAAATAAATTATTAAAAAATATTATTTTAATAAAAATATTAGAAAAAACAATGGGTCAAATGTTGAGTTCTGATTATATATAAATTTTTAATATTAAAAAATAATTAAATCATATCCTATATTTTATTTAAAATTTTAAGCTATTAAATTGGATGGTTCCATAGTTTTTAAACCCAACCCTATGATCGACCCGGTCTAATAATCGGGTCACGGGTCAGAAGAGTTGATTCAAGTCAACTCAACAAAACAAAAACATTTCACCAATTTCTCAAAAATGCCCCCAATTAAAAACCTAACAAAAAAATTCAATAAAAAAAATTCAAATGCAATTCCAAAAACCCAGCAAAAACAATGAAAATCCATTTCCATAAATTTTCCATGAATCCCACCACCAAAAACACACAAAAATACAGCACCCTTACAGGTTATACATGTTAAAACTTTGAAAAGTTTCAACCTTTTTAGCAAGCAAGGAGTGTAAGCCACTCTCTCAAAACCTTAGCACCTCTCTTTAAAGCCTTAGGATCAAACCTAGTAGATGTCATTCCTAGAAGCTTTAGATTACCCCTCGTCGTTGATTGAGGTAAAGTGGATGGTTGAGATTGTACAGAAGAAGAAGACAAATAAGATTGAGGGAAAGAAGAAGGGTTTGCAGAAAAGACCCACCTTTGGACTACGGACGAGTTGCTTTCAGTCATCCTATCATCAAGCATACCATTGATAAAGTCAAGAAAGGACAGGCAGAAGGCGTGCTAATCAAATCCTCTCTTTCAACTCTATCCCTTCTTAGTCTCAGCTAACCAATCTCATTCTTAGCTCATTCTCCTTATCTTATCGGGCAAGTGGCTTACACTTCTTGCTTGCTTTCATCCTGTTTTTATTGTCGCTTGCTTGCTCGAAGGAGAGATGAAGAGCAAGATAGTTGCAAAAAAAAATAAGGCTAGGTCTTAGCCGGGTTTACCCGGGTTGACCGGGCCAAACCCTTGTTGTTTTTTAATTATACTCGGCCCGGTCCTAGGCCCAGGTCGACCCATCGAGTCGGGTCAGGTTTCAAAATTATGTTAGTCATTAATGCTTTAATACTATGTTAAAGAACCATCTACAGTTTTGAAAGAGAGGATTTGATTAGTGCGCCTTCTACCTATCCTTTCCTAACTTTGTTAATGATATGCTTGATGATAGGATGACAAAAAGCAGCTCGTCCGTAGTCCAAAAATAGGTATCTTCTTCAAACCCTTCTCCTTCCCCTTAATCTTTTTCGCATTCTTCTTTTGTACAATCTCAACCATCCATTTTGCCTCAATCAATAACGACGAGTAATCTAGAACTCTTAGGAATGGCATCTGTTGAGTTTGATCCTATGGCTTTAAAGAGAGGCATTAAGGTTTTGAGAGAGTGGCTTACACTCCTTGCTTGCTAAAAAGGTTGAAACTTTTCAAGGTTTTTACATGTATAACTTGTAAGGGTGCTATATTTTTTTTTTTGGTGTTTTTAGTGGTGAGATTTATGGAAATGGGTTTTTGTTGTTTTTACTGGGTTTTTGGAATTGCATTTGGATTTTTTTTATTGAGTTTTTTTGTTGGGTTTTTAATTGGGGGAATTTTTGAGGAATTGGTGAAATGCTTTTGTTTATTTGAGTTGACTCGGGTCAACTCAAGTCAACCTATCTGACTTGTGACCCCATTATTAGGTTGGGTCGATCATCGGGTCGGGTTTAAAAACTATAATGACTAAGCATTAATGAGTTTGAATTTCATAATTTTTATTTATTTGATAAAAATAAAAGATAAGGTAATATGAATTTATATAAGTTTTAAACTTAGAGTGCTTTAATTTAAGTGAGCGTGTTAAAAAATAATATAAATTATATTATAGAATCTTACCTAAAAACTTAAATTATTCTATTTATTATTTAAAAAAAATAAAATGATATTATTTTAATAAAAAAAATTAACAGGTGAGAATTGAATTTTGATCGACTAATAAGTTTTGATGAAGTTAATTTAAATTTTTATCTTGACCCGTTTAAGCTCCGGGTCAATCCGCTGAGCATGACGGGCTTGCCCCCTTTTAAGACATGTAATCTGGGCTGGCAAGGTCTGGCCCATTACTAATAGGATAAGATGAACTATGATTACAGCAGGGAAAGATTTTCTTAACAGAGTCCTCAATTAATGCAGTCGTTATATTGTCTGTAATGACTTTACCGGCCAGGTTAAGTCAAGTTAATACCACCACGCGTTTTAGCAGCAGGCCAACACACGCGCTAACAAAATGAACAGTAAAAAGCACTCGTGTGGCCCCCGCGATCCCGGCCTTTGGTGTGAAGCCCACGCTTACATGGCGCGTGATGGCGTCGCCAAGTCTGCATTCAGTGTGGGACCTACAGTGGCTTTCAGTGGATTCATGCTGGCCGTTGATCTCTCCGCCACGAGCAAATCTGACGGAGAAAAATCTTCTGAGTCAAAGACCTATCTTGATGGGTCTCTTTGACCACACTGAAACATTCAAAAATTTTCAAAACTTTTTTTTAAAGAAAATAATTAAGTTTCCAAGGTTTGACTGAGCTGTCACTTCAATCGAGGTCTCTTCGTTGAAAATCGAGGCAGCTTGTGAATTTACAGTTATGGGCATCACGGATTCCAATTTTGCATGCCCCCCCACCTCCCACAAGACCAAAACACCCTTATAAGCTAACGGGTTGGTGATTTAATTTTTTGTGTTAGAGTTTGTGTTTGTTTGCTATTTTATTAGCTTTTGGGGTTATATTTTGGAATATAAATTGTAAATTTTTTATAATTTATTTTTTTAAATAAGATTCATGCAAAACTGTAATATATATTAATTAACAGAATATTTTCAAATTTATAATTAAAATAAAACATAATTTCAACTAAACATCACCACACCATTAAACATATCCTAAATAAAAGTAAAATTTAGAGATTTATGCATGTTAAAGGCTCATTATTAGAATATATATTTTTAATGGATTAATGTTGATTAGTTGTTAATATTTGGAAGGTTTATTGTACTAGAACTTAAGAGGGTAATTAAATGAAGTGGGGAAGACAATAATTAGCAATTCATAATTCACCTTGGAGTATTTTTAAACCCTATGTCTATTGATTTGTGAATATAAATATCTATCATGCAATTAAATTACTGAAACTTAATCATAATTAGCATCTTAAATGTTTTGTAAACAATTTAAATTTAGAAGTGAAAGAAAAAAAATTGTTGTGGTGTTCATAAAATTAGATTTTTTTAATTGATCTTGAATATTTTTAATAATTTGTAATTACTAATTAAATGATTTTCACTGTAAAACCTGAAATTAAGATTTTTTTTAAATAGTTTTAACCTTACCAAATATGTTAACTTTGAATATAGTATTATTTTGTTATTCTTACAAGATGAATTTAAATCAATTGTAATCTTTAACTAATGAGAGAACTTATGTAAAAAATAAAAAAATATTTTTTTACTTGAAAAATAGATTTTTTCCTTTCAACAAAAAGTTACTCTATTTTTCACATATTTTTACTTTCAAATCTTATAGATGCATCCACATTGTTAGTAAATCATTTTTTTTTTTAAAAAAATACTCCTATAAACGTATATTTTTAGATTGCATTGTAAGCTACAAAGGGCAATCAGGTCATTACTCAAAATCACACGAAGAAATGGAAAATAAGCCAACAATAACTCAACATGACAACATAGAGGGTAAAAATGTCTAAAAAAAATGATAAATCTAATTTTATTTATATATATATTATTTTATTTTTTGTAAATGTAGGTGACAATAATCACATCTTAAATGGAGTAATTAAATGCTGGGTTTTGGTAGGTTTGACCAGTGCCCTCTTTGCCCTCCTCTCTCTCTTCTCTCTATGACACTAAATATACCTTAGCATCTTTTTTGTCTACCTTTTGTTAATAAAATAAAGCTCTCACCCGTCCCCTTTTCTCATTTTGCTTTCTTTTCTTTGACTTGTAAAGGGTTTTTGTTTTACCTCATCAAAAT